CGTCACTCTGATATCAAACCACAACAATAACAATTCTCAATCTTCACCCTCCCCAATGGCCATTTGGGAAGCGGGAGATAACTTCACGCCTCAACACAAGTAACTAAACTCGAGAGTTATTAGCGTGATTATGTGGTGCCCTTGACTCAAATCAAGACCCGGCACTCGTCAAACACAACATGGCAGGGAGTCTAATGATGAATCCAATTAAACGATGGAACCCTATCCAAGACGGATAAGCATCTCTCAGATATATAGGATCATGAATGGATGAATGCATGTATATGCATGTATGAATGAATGCCTTTATGCATGCATGTATGAATGCCCATGTGTGCATGCATGTATGCGGGTGTATGCTCATGTATGTCTATGTTTGCATTCATGTGTGAATGCCCAATGAATACTCAAACAAACAGACCTAATGTGGAAGGCCTTATACATCCTGCCACAACCAAAATCAAGCATCCTATCACAAGGGACCAAGTTTCAAACAAGGTCCTAAGAGCATAGTGAGCAAGATTAATTTCAAAACTTCTCACTATCGGTAGATAACAGGTACTAACTGAATTGCTATCTCATCAAAGTGAATCCAAAAATTCAGGCAACATGAATCAAAATCATCCCTTGTATAATCCCATCACTCATCTCACCACGGTTCTAAATCCATTAACTAGCCAAGTTCAAAACATATCCTAGGTATTTACTTAAACCTAGGCTCTCACATCACGAAATCTTAATCAAACCTAAGCTTTGATACCACTCAATCTGTCAATGCCCCAGAACCCAAACTCGAGGACGTGGCAGACGTCGTGCACTCGTGAATGGGTCCCACGAATGCACAAGGCTCGGAACTTATCCGATTCACATCTGACAACCCAATAACTCAAATTAATTATCTCAAAATAATTCTATGTCCAACATGACTTGAGCTCACGATCTCAAGGTCAAATCTCTTGTAAACTAACAATCCATTAAATGAATTTATAAAATCTCCAATTAAACTCTAGTTTACAAGATCATGATCTATTTTTACAATCTATGCTCACTTTACAAGATGGCTAGCCTTCTAACTCGTCACTCCCCTCGTTTTCCCCGTCCTTAACTTCACTTCCTGAAATGGTGGACAAGGAAAACTATGAGATAACTCAGTAAGTAAATATGGATAGCCCTTGGGTAATATTTTATCATGCCAGATAAACCATGTAAGCATAACAGAACTTTCAATGATAAACCGTTAATGCGAAAATCAAATTCAGTTCAATAGCAAAATGTTTCATGACAAACCGTCAATGCAGAAGAAAATTCAGTTCAGTAGTCTCATCTATAAGTCATGGCCAGCGTTTATAAACTTCCCACTGGCGGGCACAGTAGTAACCAATGTTTAACCCCATTGGCAGGGTTACAGAAGTATTAGTGTTTAACAAACTCCCATTGGCAAGCGTCAGTAATGGTACCAGTGTTTACAAACTCCCACTGGCAGCCGTCAGTAATTACCAATGTATTCGCCCATTGGCAAGATGAACCGGTTATATCAGTAAACATGTCGACATGTGTTAGCGTTTATAAACCTCCCACTAACGGGCACAGTAATCATGACTATATCAGAGACAAAACCATGCAGGATTTACAGAAAAATCTGAAATTCGCAATCAATCTCCAATTTCAGAAATAAACCGAAAAATTCCCATGTGAGCATGGATTTAACAGAAAAACTCAGAATTTACAAAACTCTCAGTTCATCAAAACAGTTCAGTCAATTCCAAATAGGCATGCTCTACTTAATGCAAGTGAAAAACAATTTAACGTGGGCATGCTCAACTCCAGAAAAACAATAAAACTCTCATTTTCATTCCAATCATGCTCAATTCCAAAAAAACAATGATTTTCATAAAAATCATCATAATTTTCATTTCAGTTTAATCACACTCAGATGATGATAAAATCAATTCAAACCTTGCCACCATCTCAAAAACAATTTAAAACATGCATTAAAATCGAAGGGCTTTACCATAATTTACTTACCTCACTCGCATAAAACCGAAGACTTAACCCAAGTGCTACGGTGACAGAACGATCAAGAACCTAATCAAAATACCCAAGAGTTAATACCGCACTACCACAAATTCACAGTAAAATCATCTTTAGCACCACCCCTAATCACGGTGCTATTCCTATCAATCTCCATATAACCGGACATCTCCAAATTTATCCTTATATTACAAACTAAACATTTAAATCCCTATTAGTTATTGACTCTCGGTGTGTGAACAGTGCCCATGAATAGTGACGGTAACTTAAAAAATTTAGGCAAAACACTAGCTAATTTCACGGGATTTTCTCTATAAAATTCACAGTAGCCAAATTAAGCTAATTCTACATAAACCAAGCACAAAAATACATTTAAACGTTGCCAATTTCTTCCCTTGTTTCGACAGAAATTTTCGGACAGCAAGGGCAGCCACTACATGGATAAATTCAACAATAATTAAAGGGGTAAATTGGGACTTAGATGGAACTAGCACTTACCACAATTTTCCCAGCAAAAACTGGACTGCAGTTTGGGGGAAGGTTGGCGGCAATCTGCAGGGAAACTCACGGCTACTCGAAATTGGAAGGAACCAAGGGAAATCAAAGTTAACCCAAGCCAATTCAAGTGAGAAAAGATGGATTAATGGCTGTTGCTTACTAGAAAAACCGAACCCACTACCCACAGCAGCAACTGACGGCAAAAGGAAGGAGAAGGTAACAGTAGATCCGGGATTTTCTAGGTTGAGAGAGAGATTCTAAGCCCCAAATCTTATGATTTAACAAGAAAAGAAGAAGAAATCCCAAGCTTGGTCACCAATTTTCTCAAGAAATGAGCGGTGGCTGGAGGGCTTGGGGGGCTGTCGGCGAGCAGAAGAAGAAGAGTAGGCTGCACGGATAAGGGAGAAGAAAGAAAGAAAAAATAACAGCCATCCTTAACCTAATTTCCTTTCTTTTTAGTCCCTCAACTTTTGAAAATTTTGCTATTAAGCCCCTCAATAATATTTTTCCTCAAATAAGTCCCTTAATGCTAAAAATATAACCAAATTTTGGGGTATTACAGATTGTTGCTGAGAGACTCATCTTTTTAGCATCACACTCCATGTTGGTGCTGCAACTTTTCAGCAACATAGTGCATGTTGCTAAAAGGCTCATTCTTTTAGCATAACACTTCATGTTGGTGGTGTAAGTTTTTAGGAGCACGTTGCTAAATATCCATTTTAGCACACACTCTTTGCTTTCTGCACCATTCTTCCCCCTAAAACATCTACTTCATCTTCCTACCAGAATTTGCCACAATCCGAGAAGGCAATTAAGATTTTAAAGGATTATTTACAGTATAAGCTTTTATATTTTCATTCATTAAGGTAAGTCTACCATCTTCTTATTGTTTCCTTATATTTTTTCTACCCTCTTTAATCCTATAATTTAAATCCATTATCTTTTGTGTTCACAACCCATTTCTGTTTCATATTTGATAAATTATGATCTATATACTATGAAAGAAACTTCTGCAGTTTGCATGTACCATTTCCCAATTGCCCTTCATTTGTATTTAAAGATTAAGTTTTATTTCTCATTAGTTTTCACCCTAATCTTCATTATATTTGAATGTTTTCTTAATATTATAGTTTTTGTTTCTGTCATGGACGAATTAAAAGTACCTTTTTTTTTTACTTATTATTGTTTATTATATTATACATAACTTACAGAAAAAAAATTAGTAGTTAATACAAATATTATTATACTGTAAATACACATTTATTATAAAACATTAAATATTAATTTGAAATGTTCTATTCCTTTAGATGGCATTTTCAGTAAGTTTTTCATCAGAAATAAAGTAATGGTTAAACTCCAAATTTTGCTCCATAAATTTGAAGGGTGTGTACACTCTTCATATCATAATTGGTTTATTAAATTATAGTCCCTAAACTATGCAAAGTATACCTTATTAGTCCTTCTGCTACTTACCCATTAACTTTATTAGAATTTGTATAATTTTAAATCCCTAAACTTTTAGTATAAGTTCATTTCTATCCCTCAACTTTTAATATATGCACAATTTCCCCCTAAACTTAAAGCTAATTTACTATAGATATATATATATTTTTTATGCAACCACTGTTTTAATCCACAAGAAGGTGATTGACCTGTTTTTGGTCACTGGAATTGGTTCAACCAGCTTGACTGATCGTGCCAACTAGTCAACCTAATAAATAGTATTTAATTCATTTTTTCAATTATAAATTATTTTTACATTAATTGATTTAATTTTTAAAATTGATAGAAATCATTTTTATA